TATTATGAGTTGAAAGCAGGTGTTGGCAGCCCTGGCCGGTTTGGCTCAGCGGTTAGAGCGTCGGCCTGCGGTCCTGAGAGACCTGGGTTCGGTTCCCGCTAAGGGCGCGTACCTCTGTTGCAGTTTGTCCCCGGCCCTGGTCGGTCGTGGGGGTGGCAGCCACGCGATGTGTTCCTTTTACATCTATGTTTCTCTCTCTCTCTGTTCCTCTCTCTCCCTCCCACTCTACCTGAACAAAAAAATGGGAAAATGTCCTCGGGTGAGGATAAAAAAAAAATAAAAAAAAGAAAGCAGGTGTTGGCAAACATTTTCTGCAAAGGGACAGATACATATTTTTGGTTTTGAGGGCCATTGAGGGTCATAGATCTTGGTCACAAGGACTTAGTTATGTCTTTGCATAGGAAAGCAGCCACACGGAGTGACTAATGGGCATGGCCGGATTAGTCTCTCCAGTGCAGTTAGTCAACTTCTGGGTAAAAGGCTGAAGAACAGAGGCCTTCCAACTACTTGTCCTGGGCTCCTACCACTTTCTCTGAGGTTTACCTCTAAGTTCTATACCTCCCCCAACCAAATAAGGGGACATCTGAACCAGAACACATGCGCAAGAATTTTCATAGTAGCGCTTTCCATAACGAGCCACACTGCAAACAATACGAGTTTAATTAACAGTAGGGAAACTGCCACACACCCAGCTGTGGAAGGCTAGGGACTCCGTTCTGTCCCAACAGCCGAGGTTGGAACGTCGAACCACCCACCAACCCGGAGTCCTGAGCGTCCAAAGCTTCAGCCTCGCAAGCCTCTCAGGATGGACTTGATCACACACCCTATTATTATCCGAAAACTGGACCAGAGACCCTCACGTGAGGATCACCCACGCCAACCCCACTATTACTGAGTCCCCTGTTGAATCTCAAACCTGAACCTGACACCGCGATCACCTGAAATACCACCTCCATCCGGTACAGACCGAGACGGTCGGGACTCAGTCACTGATCTCCACAGGCCCCTATTCACCTGATGATCCTCAGTGTTCCCCTACCACAGACAGGTGTGTCACCTCCTTCCTCGCACAGACCTTGGCACTCCTCCCACCCGACCTCCAACCCACGGGTCCAGCTCTACCACTTCCACCCTGTATGGTCAGGTATCCTTTGAGAGACAAACCTCCCACGAGACACAATTTTTCTAAACATTTCAAAAAATGAGAAGACACTGATCCGACTTTCTCCAGCCCACAAGAAGAGTCTAAACTTGACAAATCCGCAAACTGATCTGACTGCTGGAAACATCCTCCAGATATTTCCTCTGCCAACAATGGTCAAGCGAAATCGGAGGCATTCGAAGTAATGCCAAAGCTTCCCAGCATCACCCCTCTACATCCCCCACCCAAGGCATTATGTCGGCGCCCAGGTTAGTGGGCCGCCATGGGGGCTGCCACTTTGGGAGACCTGAGCTCTCAACAGAAAGCAAAGCAAGGACTTTGGATCCAGTAGTCAGCAGGGCTGAAAGGGGAGAAGCTCCAGGATTTATCTCGTTTCCTGGCACTTTGACTCCTGTAGAAAATTAGTATATTTTGGAGACTCATGATTTGCAAGGCAAATGAGTGAGCTAAATTGTGCTGGGGTGGGGCTGGGCAAAGATGGCTGTAGCTTTTATTTTACAGTTTGTATAAATCTTTAAAAGAATAAAAAATGCTTTCTGCCATTTGAGCCAGTTTGGCTTAGTGGTTAGGTCATCAGCCCTTGGACCCAAGCAATTCCCGATCAAAGTCACATACCTGGGTTGCAGGTTTGATCCCCCATCCTGGTGGTGGTCTTGTGGGAAGCAACCGATCTATGTGTCTCTTTCTTTCTCTCTCTCCCTCCTTCCCTTCCACTCTATCTAAAACAAAACAATGGAAGAATCCTTAGTAAGGATTAACAGTAAGAAAAGATATTCAAAGAAAAAAACACTTATTTAAAAAAAAGTTGAGGAGGGGGGTGGGGAGAATGAGAAAAACCAAAGTTATATGCATGGATGCATAACCAATGGGCATAGATAACAATGCTTGGGGCGGGGTGGCAGGACAGGGAGGAGGATGTCTGGGAAAAAAAGAAGAAACATCTGTAATAAAAATAATTAAAAAAAATTTTTCCAGCCTTGGCTGGTTTGGCTCAGTGGTAAGAGCGTTGGCTTGTGGTCCGGAGAGACCTGGGTTCTGTTCCCACTAAGGGCATGTACCACGGTTGCAGTTTGTCCCTGGCCCTGGTTGGGTTGTGTGGGTGGCAACCACTCTATGTGTCCCTTTCATGTCAATATTTCTCTCTCTCTTTCTCCCTCCTACTCTATCTGAACAAAATATGGAAAAATGTCCTCGGGTGAGGATAAAAAAAAATAAAATAAAATAAAAAAGTTTCCAGCCTGGCCTGGTGGCTCAGTGGTTGAGTGTTGACCCATGCACCAAGTGGTCACCAGTTCGATTCCCGTCAGGGCACATGCCCAGGTTGTGGGCCAGATCTCCAGTGAGGAGCATGCAGGAGGAGGCCAATCAATGTTCTCTCTCATTGATGTTTCAATCCCTCCTTTCCCTTTCCCTTTATCTCTCTCTAAAAATCAATAAAGAAAAGAAATTTTTTTTTTTTTAAGTTTCCAAAGGGTCAGCAGCTCAGGTGTTGGTGTAGAGGCAGAGAATGAGATCCTACAAACAGAAATGTTCATAAGTGGTGGAAAATTTCTTGCAAGTGGTTTTTAAGAACAGAAAATGATTTCCTGAAACTGGAACAGTGTGAGGCTGGCCATCACCAACCAGGCAAAAAGAGCAGCTAGGTGTAGCAGAAGTTGTCATTGGGTTGTACGCCTCAAGGAAAGGCCAGTAAAGTTCTGGAGCCAGTGAGAAAGGCACAACCAGAATTTAGAATCCAAAAACATTACGGTCTATTGTTCTTTAACCAAGGTCCCAAGATAAGCCAATGGAGTCTTTTCAAGAAAAGATGTTGGGATAATTGTACATGTAGTGGCAGAAAAATAAATTAAGGCCCCTAAGTCCAACCATAAACAAAAATTAACTTAAAATAGATTACAGACCTAAGTATAAGAGATGAAAGTATTAAAAAAAAAGAGAGAGGGAAAGAAATGAAAGTATAAAACTTAGAGAAGCAAATGGCAGACAATCTTCCTGAACATGAATTAGACAAAGAGCCCCCCGATAGAGAAGAAGGGAGAGAGGGAGGAAGAGAGATAGAGAGAAACATCCACATCAACCAGGGCGGGGACAAACTGCAACCGAGGTACATGCCCTCAGCGGGAACCAAACCTGGGACTCTCTGGTCTGCAGGCCGGCGCTCTAACCGCTGAGCCAAACTAGCCAGGGCTAGACAAAGAGTTCTGGGAGAAGATAGTTAAGGATGAGCTATAAAGAAAAAAATAATTTAAATTAGTTAAAATTTAAAATGTTTGTAGTTCTAAGTACAACATTTAAGAATGTGTAGAGAGTGGAGCCAGAGGTTAGGAGAAAATGTTTCCACATCATACATCTAATAAAGGACTTGTATTCAAAATATATAAAGAATTCAGGGAGGGGGGAAGGGGGTCTCAGTGGGGGAAAAGGAGAAACATCTGTAACAAAAATTAATTAATTAAAAAATATATAAAGAATTCATAAAACTCAATAACAAAACAACCATCCAATTAGTTTAAGTATGACTTCATGAAATTTCTAAAAACTGCACTGTGGTGATAGTAACACAACTCTAAATTAACTATATGTCAATAAATTGTACAATTACTATGTAAATGTTATATATAAATTATGGCAATAAAGCTGATCAAATGAATTACCATTCTATACTACAAAATTTATAGGGTATGGATTTTTCCAAAAAGACACCAAGTACATCACTGGCCAGGTAGTTCAATTGGTTAGAGGATCCTCCCGATTCATTAAGGTTTTGGGTTTGATCTGTTAGAATCAACCAGTGAATGCATAATAAGTGGAACAAGAAATCTCTCTCTTTCTCTCTAAAATCAATCTTTAAAGTAAATGCAGATGTCTGACAAGCAAGAGAAAGGGTATCAACAAATTATAGAATAAGAATATTAGAATTTGGATAATAAGAGTATCATAAACTGAATATAACTGATTTTATGGTTTTTAAGTATACCCCACTTTTTTTTAAATCCTCACCCGAATACATTTTTGTATTTTATCTTCAGATAGAGCAGGCGAGAGAGAGGAAGGGAAAGAAAAAGAGAGAAACATCGAGGTGACAGAGACATTGAGTGGTTGCCACCCACACAACCCCAACCGGGGCCTGGGACAAATTGCAACCAAGGTACGCGCCCCTAGCAGCAACTGAACCTGGGCCTCTCTGGTCCACGGGCTGACGCTCTTAACCACTAAGTCAAACTGGCCAGGGCATCCCACTTTTTTTTTTTTTTTTTTAATAAGAAAAATGTATTTAGAGACACAGAGATAGAAATGAGCTGTAGAAACAATGGGCTTCAAGCAAAAAGTCACAAAAACAAAAGTAGGGCCCTTTGCCCTGGCCAGCAGGCGCAAATGGTTAGAGCATGATCCTGCACACCAAAAAAATTGCAGGTTTGATTCCATGTCAGGGTTACATACCTAGGTTTCAGGTTCAATCCCTGGTCAGGGAATTTACAGGAGGAAACTGATAGATGTTTTTCTCTCAAAAAAAAAAAAAAAAAAAGTTAATGAATATCTTCAGGTGAATATTAAAAAAAAACAAAATAGGGCCCTTGGAGGTTAGGAAACAGAGACAGAGATAAGCCTTGAGAGGAAACAGGGAGTAGTGAATGGCACCAGTGTGCTCCAGAGCGCACCGCCAAATATACTTCACTTTAATGCATAAAAACGTGACTCTAGTTACATAGCAGTTCACCCATGATTTTGTTAAAGCCACTTAATATGAATTACATATATATAAACATTTTATAATACGGAAATATGGTTGAGAAATTAAAACAAAATTAGATCATGCCTGTCTTTTTACCCAGTTTTATTGACATATAACTGACATAGAATTAGACCTACTTTTAATAAACTTTTTATTTTGGGAAAATTCTATATTTACACAGAAGTCACAAGGTATTACTACAAAGTTCATATGAACCTTCATTTGACTTCCCCTCATGTGAACATCTTATATAACCATGGTACATTTATCAGACTGAGAAATGAACACTGGTATAATATGGAACCATATTATAGATTCTACTCGGATTTCACAGCTTTTTCACTACCATTATTTTTTTCTGTCCCAGGAGTCAACCCAAAATACAATATTGTATTTAGACATCATGTTTCCTCCATTTTCTCTGTTCTGTGGCCATTTCTTGGTCTTATTCACATTTATGTCCTCAATTTTTTTCAGGAGTACTGACTAATCAGGTATTTTGTATATTAACCCATCTTTTAAGCTGGATCTAAAGAAATGTAAAAGTTAATTACAGAATGGAACACTTTTGTGTTGTGTATATTGAAATCTGATCCATGAGAAGAGTAACTGCCACTATTTAAAACTTAACTCAATGGCAAGGCAATCAGAAATATGGTGAAGGTATCCCGTCACCAACTGCAGGTGACATATACTATTCTGCTTAGACTTGTGACAGAAAGCTTTTGCAGTCAAGGTTTCTTTCCTTCATTGTCTAAGGTTTTGCTAAAGACTATTAAATTGAATGCATTCATGAGTTATTTCTGTATGCATTTCCTGGCAAATTAGGAAAAAATATAAATGAATGCAAATTATGCCATATACATTGCAAGACAAAACTATTTTCTAGTGTGATCTGACATCTACTGAAGTTTTACTTTTAGGCAGATGCTTTTCCACAGAAATATTTATTAATTCATGATCTCTGATGATCACATGATAGGGTTTACTGCCCACTAAAAGCTTTCCAAATCTGTCACATTCATAAGATTTATTTCAATAAACTCTTTTAAAGACATATAGTGTCCTAAAATATTTCACCAAGGCTGACTGTATCTAATAGTTTTGTAAAGATTTTATCGATAGAAAATATAATTGCTCAGTAAACATAGTACCAGATTCTTTACATTGTCATAATTGAATGCATATTATTTACTTGAAGGCTTACAACCTCAAACAGGTTTTCCCCAAAGCAACTATCTATAAATTCTCTTATCTTTAACAAGGATTGACAAATGGGCAAAAGCTTCCCCACAATTGCTGTTCCCATGCGGCTTCTCTCCTGTATGTTTTCTTTGATTAACATTAATTCCCGAATTAATTGTAGTGAAGTCTTTTTCACATTCATTACATTCACAGAATTTCTCTCCTATGTGAATTTTCTGATGGGTAATGAGATCATTTTTGCTCAATTAGAATTTTCCACATTCTGTACATGCAAAGGAAGTCTTGTAAGAGGTATGTCTTCTTCCGAAAGATTTCACATTTATATCATTAGTACGGCTTTTCTCCAATATGAGTTTGCTGATGATGTATACCTAGAGTAAGGTTCATGGTGAAGCCCTTTACACATTCATTGAATATATATACAATTTTGCTCCATATGAATTCACAAATGTGCAGTGAGCATTACTTTTCCCAATTTAGCCTTTGACACTTTCCTTGCATATGTCCACTTTCTCTCCGGTAGGACTGTGCCAATGTACACTGAGATGACTCTTCATGGTGAAGCCTTTTCCATATAAACTGCAAAGGATTTCTCTCCTGCATGTTTTCGCTGATGTCTGATTAGATTAAACTTCTCTGTGAAGCCTTTCCCACATTCACTACATATATAAGGTTTCTCTCCTGTATGAATCCGTTGGTGTGCAATCAGTTTACTCTTTGCTGGGAAGCCTTTTCCACATACACTGCATAAATAGGGTTTCTCTCCTGTGTGAATTCCCTGATGTACAATAAGACGACTCTTCACAGCAAAGCCTTTCCCACATTCATTGCATATATACGGTTTCTCTGAAGTATGACTTAGCTGATGTACAGTAAGATTAGTCTTCATGGTAAAGCCTTTTCCACATATACTACACACAAAGGGTTTTTCTCTTGTATGTGTTCGCAGATGTCTGATGAGATGACTGTGCGCTTTGAAACCTTTCCCACATTCACTACATACATAAGGTCTCTCTCCTGTATGAGTCCGTTGATGTAAAATGAGCTGCATCTTCCCTGGGAAGCCTTTTCCACATTCACTGCACACATAGGGTTTCTCTCCTGTATGAGTTCGCTGATGTACAATCAGATAACTCTTCCCAGTGAAGCCTTTCCCACATACATTGCAAATAAAAGGTTTCTCTAAAGTATGAGTTCGCTGATGTACAGTGAGATTACTCTTCATGGTAAAGCCTTTGCCACATACACTACATACATAATGTTTCTCCCCTGTGTGTGTTCGCTGATGTTTGATGAGAAGACTCTTCCTGGTGAAGCCTTTTCCGCACTCATTACATATATAGGGTTTCTCTCCTGTATGAGTTCGCTGATGTGTGGTAAGGCTGTTCATCAAAGTGAAGCCTTTCCCACATTCATTGCATATAAACGGTTTCTCTCCAGTATGAGTTCGATGATGTGCAATAAGACGACACTTCACAATGAAGCCTTTTCCACATTCACTGCATATATAAGGTTTCTCTCCTGTGTGAGTTTTCTGATGTTTAGTGAGATAAGACTTTGTAGAGAAGGTCTTCCCACATAGACTGCATCCATGGGGTTTCTCCCCGGTATGAGTTTGCTGATGATAAATCAGCTGCCACTTTTTTATGAACACTTTCCCACATTCACTACACGTATACGGCTTCTCTCCCATATGAGTTTTCCGATGTATATTGAACTGTGATTTCTTGAGGAAGGTTTTGTCACATTCAGTGCATTCATATTGTTTCAGTCTTGTATGAATTCGCTGATGTCTAGTGAGCTTGGATTTTCTGGCGAAGGCTTTCTCACAAAGACTGCATCCATAAGGTTTCTCCCTAGTATGAACTCTCTGATGATCAGTGAGCTGAGACATCTTCATAAAGGCTTTCCCACATTCAGTGCATACATGGGCTTTCTCTATGTTGTGAGTTTTCTGTTGCTGAATGACCTGGGATTTATTATTAATAGTTTTGGTACTGACAGGCAATGTGATTTCAGTGCAAAATTGTTCCTTGTTAGCATGCATAATACATGTCCCATCTCCCTTCAACTCAACAGAATTAGTTAAGTTACAACTTCTGTATTGGTTTTCAAAATTTAAGTTAGATTTCAAAGGTTTTTCATGTACCTTACACATACGATTGTACTTTAATAGAAAATTACCTTTCCTCTTATTAACAATATTTGCAAACATATTATGTTCATAGCATTGTCTCACATTCTTCTGAATACTTGGACTTCGCAAGAAACAATGCAGAGGATCACCAACTTTCTTGAATTCTAGGAAAGAAAACAGCAAATCATTCTGTAATCTCTCATAATCATTGCAATAAAACTATGCAGTAAATATTTATTTTTGAAATATAATTATTAATTTTTTAAACAATTTTTAAAATCCTCACCAGAGGATATGTATTTTTACTGATTTTAGAGACAGAGGAAGGGAAAGAGAAAGAGAAACATCGATGTAAGACAGGGAATCAAACTGGGACATCTCAGTCCATGGTATGACGCTCAATCCACTGAGCCACACTAGCCAGGTTAAATTTATATCATATTTTAAGAAGATATAGCAAGTAACTTTGAACAACTTATGGATATTCATTACAGAATACTAGAGATTTCATTCAGGGATTATATCCTCGTTGGGAAACACTTTGCAAAACTCCTGTTTGGTATGAATTAATTTTATTATTTTTTGAATCTTCACCTCAGAATATTTTTTCCATTGATTTTCAGAGTATAAGGGATAGAGGGAAGAGAAGAGAGAGAGAGACAGAGAGACACAGAGAGAGACAGAGACAGAGACAGACAGACATCGACTGGTCACCCCCCAACACACACACACCAACTAGGGCCCAGGATCGAACCTACAACCCTGGTGCATATCCTTGAATGGGAATTGAATTTGAGACCCTTTGGCAGATGGGTTGATGCTCTAACCACTGAAACACACTGGCCAGGGCAGCATGAATTAATTTGAAGAGTGCTCAAACACTATACTAAATGTATCACATTTTAAGAAGATACTACCCAGTTTCTTTTAACATAATAGGTTTTATTACATCTCAAGTTACAAATATTCAGTAAATAATCAGTAGTTATTTTTTATTGTTGACTATTACAGCTGTCCCCCACCCCACCCCATGCCTCCTTCTACCCTGTCCCTACCCCCCAGGCCCTCACTAAATTATTGTCTGGGTCCATGGACAATGCATAAATGCATATATGTTCTTTAGTCGATCTCTTCCCATTCCCCCACCTTTTCTCCTCTGAGATCTGTCAGTCTGTTTCATGTAATTAAAAAAATAATAATTCTAGGTATAGACACCTGAAACAAAATAGTAACATAATCACAATCTGTAAAACATGGTTAAAAGAGGAATAGAGATGTAAGAGGTGGAGAAATCAGGATATACACGGTAGGGCAAAAGCAAGTTTCCAGGTTTTTATATGAAAAATTATGCATTAAAAAACAATATTACAAGTATAAACCCTCTGTTTTATGTACTCACAACTATAAACCTACTTTTGCCCCACCCTTTACTTAGAGAGAAGATTCACTGATGGGATCAATGGGATAAACTGGAAGAGGGAGAGAGAGACAAACATAGATGAGAGAGTATATCAACTGGTCGCCTCCTGGATGCCCCTCACTGGGGATTTAGCCCACAACCTGGGCATGTGCCCTGACCCGGAATCAAACTGGTGATCTCTTGGTGCATTGGTTGATGCTCAACCACTGAACCACACCAGCCACTCGAAGGGTCTAACACTATTTTGAGGTATACAGTGTCAGAATTGACTCAAATTTATAGGGGTAGGGAGGAAAAACAACATAAATGCACCATGAAAATGAGCTCATCAAGGGACCACAGCATCCAAAGTTGGGCTAGACATTATGGAGGAAAACCTTCCCAAACGGGAAGGAGAAGTAATATTGTAAAAAAGTGATGAATTTAAAGTTCTATTTTTCCAGTGAGGCCTGGAAAGTGGAATTTCATGGCAAGAGAGGTGGTAATATAGGCAGAGACACTGTGACAGTGGACAAACACTGGGAAGATCTGAGAATCCAAGGAGGAAAAAAACTACATAAACAAAAACAAGACGTAGATAAAATAAGCCAGGATTAGTCCTCAGAAGAGAAAAAAAATGTATGTTTTCCTCTAAACTTCTACAAAGTAACAGGGTTCTCATCCATGGAGGGTGGGTTGAGTTTCCTCATTCACTGCCACCGCTCTGACACCTCCTGACTGGAATGTACTTCCCGGCCGCCCACCTTGTTGAGTCTCCTTCACTCACTTGCACAGACTAGAAGGTGGAGTTCATCCTGTGCTGTCCATGGTTCTTCCCCTTGTTCCAACTTGAAGAGCGTGTCTGGTTTGCTGGCCTGATACCCTGCTCGAGAGAAAGGACATAAGACTTAGGCATATGGAATAGGGCTGGGGTCTGCCAAGGAGGGAGAATGAACAGGTTTCACATCTCTAACACAAGGCCTTTTCCCTCTGGTGTAGGGACACTATACCCTCCTGCCTGGGGCAAGAGAACGATCTGAGATTCAACACTTTGAAGGAACTAGTTGTTCTGAACAGTTAAGGACCTGAGAAAGGTAAAGCCACTAACAGGGTACTGCTGAGTGACACAGGGAGCTGTCCTCACCCACTGACTCCAGGTTGCTAAAGTTCTCCAACATCACGTCCCTGAACAGGTTCTTCTGATCGGGGTCCAGGAGCTGCCACTCCTCCCAGGTGAAGTCCACGGCTACATCGTGAAATGTCAGGCATTCCTGTAACAACACCATGTTGTTTATTGGGTGATGTCTTTTAGCTGATGTAGAAGAAATGTTAGTTTTTCTGCCCATTTTCACTTTATAGGCTGCACCTATATAGCAAGTGGGGTTGTATTTTAATATATAGTTGAATAATCACATGCCTAGTGAAATCTTATTTTATAATTGTTCATTCAGTCATCCATGCATTCATCCAACTACATTTTACTATAATGTAAACAGGTAAAATGTTTATCTAGAAACACCTTTCATATATTCAAATTCATATATTTGAGATACAAAAAATATATATATGTATGCTTTCCAGATTAACAAAAGTGATTTTTATAGGCATCTACAAATCCAGTAATGAAGAAAGTTAAAATAAACCCAAAGTCACCTGAGCCTGGAACATTTTCTTCTGTTCTCTGAAAACAGGCAACAGGGATGCTCTGTCTTGGTGTGTCCTGGGTCTGCTCAGAAATCTGTTTTCGGTCAGGTGTGTCTCCAGAAATGCTGATACCCAATCCTGCAACTTCTACCTGCTTCATATGATTCTATTGCTCCTGATATTGTCATGACATATGTCCAAACCTGTAGAGAATTTTTGAGTTTACTTGAGCCACACTGACAAATGCTGGGAAGCAAAATAACAATGAATAAAGAAAATGCTTTAGAGAATGGTAGTTTTGCACCTAATTTTGTACATCAGAGTCAAAGAAGAATATACAAGAGGTTTACATGAACTCCACTGGTGATAGATTAGGGAGTAGAAAAAAGTAAAGTGGGAAAATCTCTGGAATCAGATTAAAAGTAAAACAAATAGCCCAGCCGGTGTGGCTTAGTGGTTAAGTATCCACCCAATGGACCAAGAGGTAACTTGTTCAAAGGGCCTGAACACAGACTTACTCAGACCCACACCCACCAGGCGTGGGGGAGGCAGCTTGAAAGGCACCAGAGACATACCAACAAGAACTGAGTCCTTGACTTCGGGTCAAGATGGCAACATAGGTAAACGTAGTACTCACCTCCTCTCACAATCACATCAAAATTACAACTAAACTTCAGAACAGCCATCATTCAGAAGCGCCTGAAATTAAGCTAAATGGAAGTCCTAACAACTGTGAAATTAAAATAGAAGCCACACTGAGACTACAATCAAGACTCAATTACAACAGAAGAGGGTACAGCCCACACGAGGGGTGCACCTCGTGGGCCCAGCTCAGGTGAAGAGGGAGGCTGTGCCATTGGATCCTACAGGACACCTACTACAATAGGCCACCCTATGAAGCGTAGGTGACATAGCAGCTCTACCTAATACACAGAAACAAACACAGGGAGGCAGCCAAAATTAGGAGAGAAAGAAACATGTCCCAAATGAAAGAAGAGAACAAAACTCCAGGAAAAAAAAAAAAATGGAGATAGGCAATCTAACAGATGTAGAGTTCAAAACACTGCTTATAAGGATTTCAATGAACTTAGTGAAAACATCAAGGAACTTAGTGAGGACCTCAAGAGAATAAAAAAGGACCAGTCAGAAATGAAGGATGTACTAACTGAAACAAAAAATAATTTACAAGCCCTGGCCGGTTTGGCTCAGCGATTAGAGCGTCGGCCTGCGGTCCAGAGAGACCTGGGTTCGGTTCCCGCTAAGGGCGTGTACCTCGGTTGCAGTTTGTCCCCGGCCCTGGTTGGTCATGCGGGTGGCAGCCACTCGATGTGTCCCTTACGCGTCAATGTTTCTCTCTCTCTCTCTCTTCCTCTCTCTCCCTCTCACTCTATCTGAACAAAAACTGGAAAAAAATGTCCTCGGGTGAGAATAAAAAAAAAAAATTTACAAGGCCTGGTTGATGTGGCTCAGTGGTTGAATGTCGACCCATGATCTAAGAGGTCCCTGGTTCGATTCCCGGTCAGGGCACATGCCCAGTTTTTTGCCCCAATCCCCAGTGGGGGGCATGCAGGAGGTAACCAAATGATGTTCTCTCTCATTGATGCTTCTCTCTCTCTCTCTCTCTCAATAAAGATAAAAATCAATAAAGATAAAAATTTAAAAAAATATATTTATAGGGAATCAATAGTAGAGTAAGCAAAGCCAAGAAGCAAAGCATCAATTTGGAATATAAGAAAGCCAAAACACCCAATCAGAACAGCAAAAAGAAAAAAGAATTTAAAAAAATGAGGATAGTGTAAGGAGCCTCTGGCATAACTTCAAGCGTGCCAACATTCGCATCCTGGGAGTGCCAGAAGGAGAGAGAGAGCAAGAAATTGAAAACCTATTTGAAAAAATAATGACAAAAAAACTTCCCTAACTTGGTGAAGGAAACATACAAGTCCATGAAACAGAGAGACTCATAAATAAGATGAACCCCAAGAGGTCCACACCAAGACACATCATCATCATCAAAATGCAAAAGGTTAAAGACAAAGAGAGAATCTTAAAAGCAGCAAGAGAAAAGCCACCTACAAAGGCGTTCCCTTAAGACTGTCAGCTAATTTCTCAAAAGAGACTTTGCGAGCCAGAAGGGAGTGGCAAGATATATTTAAAGTGATGAAAAGCAAGGACCTACAACCAAGATTACTCTATTCTGCAAAGCTATCATTTGGAATCGACCATATAAAGAGTTTCCCAGACAAGACAAAGCTAAAGGAGTTAATCATCACCAAACTAGTATATGAAATGTTGAAGGATCTTCAAGAAAATGAAGAACAAAAATATGAACAATAAAATTACAATAAATACATATCTATCAACAACTGAATCTAAAAACAAAATGAACAAGCAGTACACAAACAGACTCATAAATAGAGAGAAATTTTTGATGGCTGCCAGATGGGGGGGTGGGTTGTGGGGATGGGTGAAAAAGGTGAAGGGATTAAGAAGAGCAAATGGGTTGGTAGAGTGACAAACCATAAAGGAAAGGGGGGAATGGGAATAAAATAAACCAAAGAACTTATATGCATAACCAATGGACACAGACAATAGTGTGGGGAAGGCAGGAGGGGGGTGAGAGTGGGGAGGAGGGGGTCAAGGGGGAAAAAAGGGGGGACATCTGTAATACATTCAACAATAAAAATAAATTTATAAAGAAAAAGAAAAAAAAAAGAGGTTAGTGGTTCAATTCCTGATCAGGGCACAGTACCAGGTTGCCAGCTGGATCCCCAGTGGTGGACGTGCAAAAGCAGCCAATCGATGTTTCTCTTTCTCCCCCCCCCCCCACACTTTCTCTCTATAAAGCAATAAAAACATATTTATTTACTTATTTTTTAATATTCACCCGAGGATATTTTTCCTTTGCTTTTTATTTTATTTTATTTTTTATTTTATTTTATTTTTTTTATCCTCACCCGAGGACATTTTTCCATTTTTGTTCAGATAGAGCGGGAGGGAGAGAGAGGAAGAGAGAGAGAGAGAGAAACATCGACCTGAGGGGACACATTGAGTGGCTGCCACCCGCACGACCAACCAGGGCCGGGGACAAACTGCAACCGAGGTACGCGCCCTTAGCGGGAACCGAACCCGGGTCTCTCTGTACCGCAGGCCGACACTTTAACCGCTGAGCCAAACCGGCCTGGGCTCCTTTGCTTTTTAGATAGAGTAAAGGGAGGGGTGGGGGAGAAAAAGGGCCCGGGCGTGACCAAGGTAAACTGCCCCTGGCCAGAATCGTAAAAACATATTAAAAAAAAATACTGGGGGGGTGAGGGGGTGGGATGGGGAGGAGGATATCTAGGGAGAAACATCTGTAACAAAAGTAAATTAATAAAAATTGGAAAAAATAAAAATAAAAGTACAAGAAATAGCCCTGGCCGGTTTGGCTCAGTGGTTAGAGCGTCGGCCTGCGGTTCTGAGAGACCCGGGTTCGGTTCCCGCTAAGGGCATGTACCTCGGTTGCAGTTTGTCCCCGGCCCTGGTTGGTCGTGCGGGTGGCGGCCACTCGATGTGCCCCTTTCACATCAATGTTTCTCTCTCTCTCTCTTCCTCTCTCTCCCTCCCACTCTATCTGTACAAAAAATGGAAAAATGTCCTCAGGTGAGGATGAAAAAAAACAAAAAACAAAAAACAAAAAACAAATAAACAAAAAAAAAAGTACAAGAAATAGACACTTCTCCATAGTGGAAATAGGATAATTAACCCTTAACAATTAACATGATGTTAATAACAATGCAGGGCTCTGTGGTCTCTAGTTCTGGTGGGAGACTGTGTCCTGAGGAGTTTGGGGGAAAAAAGAAATTACCCTGACATTTCTTTTTTTTTTTTATCCTCACCCGAGGACATTTTTTCATTTTTTGTTCAGGTAGAGTGGGAGGGAGAGAGAGGAACAGAGAGAGAGAGAGAAACATCGATGTGAAAGAAACACATCGAGTGGCTGCCACCCGCACAACCGACCAGGGCCGGGGACAAACTGCAACCGAGGTACGCGCCCTTAGCGGGAACCGAAACCGGGTCTCTCAGGACCGCAGGCCGACGCTCTAACCGCTGAGCCAAACCGGCCAGGGCTACCCTGACATTTCAAAATCAAGTCATCCCAGATGCAAAAAGACAATTAACAAGTTGAGTGACTTTGTCAAGGAAAATACCAGTCAAGGACATCACTACCTAGACTTGCTTTTAGTATTAACATTTAATTTCAGACATCCTCTGTGGTTACTTTCAGCTTCTGAGTTTGGAAGGCCCACCATGAAGGCCTACCCTGAGCTTGTCAGGTTTATTATGTGGTCCCTTTTAGGTCCACACTGGGGAGTTACAACCTGTGGTAAGTTGAGAAGAAAATGGAATAAGTGGTACATTTCTTATGGAACCCTTTGTTAACATGCTCTTAATCACAATGCCCATAGTATCTCTGTTGTCCCTTAATTTGGTCTCCTGGAAGTATTTACTCTTCAGGCCAACAAAACCTTAGGTTGTAAATGCAGTGGAAGTATTCCTTTATTCTCTGAAGTGAAGTGGAGTGATTGTGAAAAAAAGATGAGGAAAATGACATTGTAGGGGCAGAGTAATATTTTCTTCTTTTCTAGGTAGTTCAGCTAATCTAATAATTAAATTGATAAAACACAGATTAACTGGGGTAAAACAATTAAAAAGGTTAATAATATATATACCTCCTGTATACATGGAAGCCAGCCAGGAAAATGGAGTAACTGTCCAAAATGGAAGACACATCACCTAAAATACCACCTTCACCTAAAGTCAAGAGATGTTGGAGATGTAGAGTCAGGTAGCAGAGGTTACCAGGAAAAGCACAGTAAACAAGGGTAAGGTGGTCATGCAGATATAAGTCTTGTTTCCTCTACTAATATTTAGGGGGTGTGTGGCATAGTGAGAGAGACACCCTAACAGGTGAGGTTACTCTTACAAATGCAACTGTCCTTTACATGGGGTCACTTCTACTAACCAGCCTAAAATGACCAATATCCCAACGAGGCACATTTTAGGGTGACAAACTGCTCTCCCTTTGACTCAAAAAATCAGTATCCAAATGACAAAATACTCTCAAAAACGACTAACAGATTTTCGCCTATACAGTTGGCTAGAACTGCACAATGTAACTAAGCTCATTTGAGATTAATTCCATCACTCCACTGGGAACTGGAACCACCAAGGTGATCTAAGAAGGACCTGGATCTACTAATACACCGGCATTGGGTCACCTCGCCAGAGGGATAGGCAATAACATAAAGTGGACTTTCTGTTAGCAAAGAAAACGTTGGAATGTAAGTCAGGCAAATAAACAACAGTGGCCGCTGCTACATAGTAGGAGGAGAGAGCAGAAGTTGGCAAACTTCCTCTGAAAGTGACACGGGAACATTCTCCCAGGTGCTGACCAAGACGTCCGTGTCACAACGACCCCCTTCTGCCTTTGCAGCACGAAAGCTGCCACACAGGCTGCAGGACAAATGGGCGTTGCTGGCTTAGTCCCTGGGTCTCTGGTGAGTCACATGCTGGATGAAAGGTTACAACCAGAGGATTAGAACCAGTGCCCTGGGCCCTCATGCCGGCTGTCCCAACAGCAACCCAGGTCGTAACCTGAACCAAACACGGGGCCCCCGGGCGTCCGAAACTTCGCCCTCACAGCCCCTCCGCCCACAGACCCGACCACGCGTCCCCACCAACCGGACACCCGCGCCGCCCAACATCACTGCCCGGGACGAGAACTATTAAATAAATCCCAACCTGAACCTCACCCCGCGATCACCCTGAATGCCCCCTGCATCCCTTACAAGCGGGGTGACCTGCAGGGCCCCATAGCCTGACTCTGTCTCTACAGACTCCTCATCTGTGCACCGACCCCAGGACACCCCAACCACAGACAGCGGCGTCTGGCTCCCCTCAAATCCCGTCCCCACAGGGTTCCCAGGAACTCCCTCCACACAGGGACGTCTCCCCTCCCCCTCCGACCCGGTGGTGATTCCCGGCTCCGCGCTGCACCACGTCCACACGTCACCCTGTGAGAAGCCAAACTTCTGTCTCGGAAAAACTTTTAAGGACAAAACCACACACTGACCTGACTTTTCCCCCAGACCCACCAGGAGAGCGCAGACGTGGTATTTCCGCGAACCGCTTCAACTTCTGCACTGGTCCCGCTCCGTCTACGGTGGCCGAGGAGGACCTCAGGCGTTTGAAGAAAGGGGCCCTTTCCGGTATTTGGCGGCAATATGTCCGCGTCCACTGCGCGGTGGTACCATGGGGGCCGCCATGTTGAGACACAGGAGTGCCGTACAGAAGGCGGAGCTGAGGGTTGAGGCTTTTAACCAGTGTTGGGGAAAAGTTGAGTAGCTACTGAAGTTATTTTGTTTTCCTGCACTTTGACTCATACGAAAAATGGGTAAATTTAATTGTTCTTATACAGATTGTACCCTAAAAAGTGTACTAATAGCTCTGCTAGCTGGAATATGGGTAAGTATCTCAGTTGTGGCGTGTGTACTGGGCACTGTGGTGACCTTCCAATGTTTGGAAGGACTACATTCCAATTCAAAGGTCTGTGGTACAGATACAAAAGATAGGGAAAAACCAGGGTCCAGAACATGATCCGGGCTGCAGAGTCATCAGTTCATACAGACAGTAGCAATATAAAGGACAGGACGGAATGCCATGGGCAGTGGGTCACTTGCATGGAAGAGGTGAGCACTCGCCAATGAGACCATAATAACGTTGGTCTCAAGCATTGCTTTTGAACAATTAGGTCCTAGAATTCACATTTGAACAACACCTAAGGAGTTAAACTGAGGCATCAAAATCATCATTGTAGATGATCATTACCTGACACCCAAAATGTGGGTGAAGATGCAGAGACCCAGACTAAATTATCCAGGTCTCCTGAGGGTCAAACTCTGTGCTGGGGTCAACCCAGAGGCAGACAAATTGTAGCTCACTCTGAAAGAAGGTTGGCTGGAGAAACTACTGGAGCTGACAGATGATGCAGTTCTAGCAAAGACTGAAGGGTAGAGGGTGAGTGCTTTGATATTTCAGGGGAAAAGAGGGAGAATCATAATTGCACCACAGAAAAACCACAGCTTCAGCTGAGTCTCCCTGGTCCTCATAGTGTACCTGCCCCAGTGAGGGCTTCACAAGTAGTGATAGAGATTGTTTCTGGTTTGGGGCCAGAATAGTGGGTTAACATGAAGCCTCTTGCTGGGCCAATGTGACTCAGTGGTTGAGCATTGACTCATGCTCCAGGAGGTCCAAGGTTAGGTTCCCAGTCAGGGCACATGCCAGGGTTGTGGGCCAATCCCTGGTGGGAGGCATGCGGGAGGCGGTCAGTTGATGTTCTCTCATCGATGTTTCTCTCTTCCTCTCTCTAAAATCAATAAAGGGAAAAAAAATGCAGCCTCTTGAATCTGACACTTGTCTTTCAGTAGACTTGGAGAACCTTCTTCTCTAATCCTGGATTTCCCCCCAGAAATTTGATATTAGTTTACACTTCCCAGGTGATCATACAGGTCAACAAAAGGAAAACAATCCAATTGAAAATGGGTTGCCTTGGCCAGTTTGGCTCAGCAGTTGTCAAGTATGGGCCCATGGACAGAAGAGCATGAAGGGATCTGGAGATTATTATGCTGAGCGAAATAAGCCAGTCAGAGAAAGACAAGTACCACATGATCTCAATTATTTGTGAAATCTAATGAACAAAAAACTGAGTAACAAAATAGATCTAGAGAATGGAAGCAGGGAACAGACTGCAGAATCTCAGAGGGAAGGAGGAAGGGAGGGTGGGAGATTAACCAAAGAATGTGTATGCAGCCCTGGCCAGTTTGGCTCAGCGGTTAGTGTCGGCCTGCAGTCCAGAGAGACTCGGGTTCGGTTCCCGCTAAGGGCACATACCTTGGTTGCAGCTTTTCCCCAGCCCTGGTTGGTCATTCGGGTGGCAGCCACTTGATATGTTCCTTTCACATGGATGTTTCTCTCCCTCCCACTCTATCTGAACAAAAAATAGAAAAATGTCCTCAGATGAGGATAAAAAAAAGAACGTGTATGCATATATGCATAAACCATGGACACAGACAATAGTGAAGACATGGCGGGGGGGGGTCAATGGGGGTTAAAGGGAGGACATCTGTAATATTTTCAACAATAAATTAAAACTTAAAAAAAATTTTTTTTTTAAAAAGCTGTCCTGGTCAGTGTGGCACAGTGGATAGTGTCGGCCTGCACACTGAAGGGTCAATGGTTCAATTCCAGGTCATGGACACATAGCTAGGTTGCAGGTTTGGTCCACAGCCCGTCTGGGTGCAGCAGGAGGCAAACAATTGATATCTCTTTCATATGATGTTTCTCTCTCCCTCCCTTCCTCCCTCCCACTATCTCTAAAAATCTATGGAAAAATATCCTCAGGTGAAGATTACCCAAAAAAACGCTCTGGAATCCTGGCAACATCAAGTATTTAATTTGTTATTTTTATTGATCTTGAAGGGCCAAGGTAAGTGCTATCATCACCTGCATATCACATTCAGCCGATTGAGATTCAGGGAGCTGTAGGAGTCACCTGGAAATTCTGGGTTGGAGACTCCACAGAGCCTTCAGTCCCACAGCACCTGCTTCCCTGCAGGTGGGTCAGTGGGTTTGTAAAAGGCCCATTTCTGTCTCAAAAGCACCCCAAAACAAAGGGTGAGTGAGAAGTGCCTGGCCTGAGAATATTTCTGCAGGCAGGAGTTGCTCCAGCCAAGACAGGCTGCAGGCATAGCTGCCTTATTGCAAATGGATACCTTAGCTCTCAACCTCCAACATCTCAGGGATGGAGAAATACCTTTTACTTGTTTTATACAGGGGAAAACTGAAGCCCAGACCACAGGAAGGGGTTATTTCATTTTAAGTCCCAATGCTATTCGAGAATCTGAAATTCAAATCCAGGGTCCCTGACCCAGGGCTCTGATCACTGCCATCCTATTTCCCTCCAATACACTCCACCGGTCCTTATGCCATCTGGTCTCAAGAAACAGACCTGTTGCAAAGCAAGAATTCCCCATGATAGGATACTAGGAAAATTAGAGAACAGTACAAAGCAAAAGCCAATTGTGTTAATAAATTACTGGACTTCGGTTAGTGAAGGACAATATTACTAGTGCAGGTGAGAATTAAAGGTGTCCTTTGCATTATGCATAGCATAAAAATTATTTAAAAATTAGGACATATTGCCCTGGCCAGTTTGGCTCAGCGGTTAGAGCATCGGCCTGCGGACCAGAGAGTCCCTGGTTCGGCTCCCGCTAGGGGCACATACAAAAAAAAAAAAAAGGACATATTTTCCAATACAAAAACCTTTATTCCATAAAGCAAAAAACAAAATCAGTGAAATTCCAACCTCCATCTCTGTTCTTTCATTATCCTTTTGTTAAATTGCCAAAACTCAATTTAGTCAGTACACATGATCAGACATTTTACTAAAGATACATAGATAGGACATACACATCTCAGAAAAGGATCATCACAAATCCTTAGAAAAATATAGTCACACAACAGTGAGGTAGCACAACAAAGTTAACAAAAGTATTTAAATAAAGAACGATGGACCAACTCAAATATTCTCTAGGATGTTTAAGAATGGAATCCCTTATACATTGATGGAAGAATGCAAAAATGTACAATCAGTGTGGATCACTATTTGCTAATCTCTGTAAATTAAACATTCACCTACCCGAGGACTCAGACTATGGGCTGAGCTACTAACAAAAGGTAAATGAAATTTATGTCCAGATAGAGAATTACACACAGCAGGGCTGGTGTGGCAGTGGACTGAGTGTCATCCCATAGACTGGAAGGTCCCAGTTCGATTCCTGGCCAGGGCACATACAAGTACAGGGGGCAGCCAATCAATGTTTCTCTCTCACATTGATGTTTCTATCTCTCTCCCATCCTCTCTCTCTCTCTCTCTCTCTCTCTGAAAAATCAATAAAAAAACATTAAAAAAAAAAAAAAAAAGAAAGAAAGAAATATAAGCAGCAATGCAAATTTGGCAAAAACTGCTAATTTCTGGAACAGAGGAACTTTTAAGACCCTGAAAAAGTTCACTTCCTCCTGCTTGGGGAGACTAGATCTGCTTATAAACTAGCCCACACAGCAAATGGAATACCAAAGAGTAAAAAAAAAACTTAGAAAAAAGGCCTTCATTATTTTACAAACCAAAAAGACATGAGTCCAAAAGTTCTTACATTGGTGACTTGGACACTAAAAAGGTTCATCACTGGCATCTAGAAAAAGCCTGTCTCTGAAAAAGGCAGTTATTCTGCAAGCTGCTAGCTGAACTCAGGTGATGTTCTCTGGGGACGAGTCAGATCCATGTACCAAGTACTGAGAGTGAAAGAAATGGAAGACCTCCTAAAAATGTAGGCTATTAATAATTTTCTCCGAAAATCAGAGAACACAGCTTATCTGAGCACATTAGGATGGTGACTGATGCAATGTGTGGATATCTAATAGGTAGTACACGTGAAATAACTTATGCAACAAAAACATGCAGTCACACAGATATGGTGAGACACCTGGCTAAATTAGAAAGTGCAACATGGATACACATGCTTCCCACAAAATAAACTAATGGGAAGCGTCCTTACTGTTGACGTTTGGATGTATGAGATTCAATTCAGACAAACAAAACTTCAGTGTTTCCTACAGTACTATTAAGACTGAACTAAAAAACTTTACATTTCCTACACGTCTATGACCTTCCTCCCATGTAAACTCCTATGTGCGGAAGGAGGGTAAAAGTTTAGCTAAAAGATTCCCCACATTAACTACACTCCTATGTTCTTTCTTTAGTGTGAACTCTCTGGTGATAAGAAAGACTATGGCTCCTGGTAAAACATTTCCCACATTGACTGCACTCATAAGGCCTTTCTCCAGTGTGAAGTCTCTGATGACATAGAAGGCCATTGCTGCTGGTAAAAGATTTCCCACATTGATGGCACTCATAAGGCTTTTCTCCCGTGTGAACTCTCTGATGATAACGAAGGCCATTTCTACTGGTAAAAAATTTCCCACATTGATGGCACTCAAAAGGCCTTTCTCCAGTGTGAAATCTCTGATGATAACGAAGGCCAGTGCTACTTGTAAACGATTTTCCACATTCACGACATTCAAAAGGCCTTTCTCTAGTGTGAACTCTCTGATGACAACGGAGGACAGTGGTACTTGCAAAAGATTTCCCACATTCATGGCACTCATAAGGCTTTTCTCCAGTGTGAACTCTCTGATGATTACGAAGACCTTGGATCCCAGTAAAAAATTTCCCACATTTATTGCACTCATAAGGCCTTTCTCCAGTGTGAAATCGCTGATGATAACGGAGGCCATTGCTACTTGTAAAAGATTTCCCACATTCATGGCACTCATAAGGCCTTTCTCCAGTGTGAACTCTCTTATGACAACGAAGTACAGTGCTACTTGCAAAAGATTTCCCACATTCACTGCATTCATAAGGCCTTTCTCCAGTGTGAACTCTCTGATGACAGCGGAGACCACTGCTACAGGTAAAAGATTTCCCACATTCACTGCACTCATAAGGCCTTTCTCCTGTGTGAAATCGCTGATGATAACGGAGGCCAGTGCGACTTGTAAAAGATTTCCCACATTCACGACACTCATAAGGTCTTTCTCCAGTGTGAACTCTCTGATGATAACGAAGGTAATAGATCCTTGAAAAAGATTTCCCACATTCGCTGCACTCATAAGGCCTTTCTCCTGAGTGAAGTCTCCGATGATAACGAAAGCCAGAGATACTGAAATAACATTTCCCACATTCACGGCACTCATAAGGTCTTTCTCCAGTGTGAACTTTCTGATGATAATGAAAAGTAGAAATTTTGGTAAAATATTTTCCACATTCACGGCACACAAAACACCGTCTTCCGGTACAAACATCCTTGCCCTTAAGAAACATGTGGTTGCAGTCAATGGCTTTCTTATATTCATTCCTGGTATAATTATTATTTGTGCTTTGAAAAGTCACCCAAGACGATAAGATATCATGTGGCCTATCCATGGTGTGAAAAGCCTGCTGTTGAAGATGCCCTGACCAGGTAAATATGTCCTGCCCAATCTCTTCGAAAGTAGACAGTTTCTGTGACACATTGAAATTATAGCCCTTCACAAACGATATCTTGTCCAACCATCTAAGGAAAGGCTTCTCTTTCACATACTGCTCCTGGTGCTGGTAAAATGTTGCACTGAAAGGAAATTGTTTTGCACATGCCCCACACCTCAACAGTATCTGGCTGTGCTGTATTTCCTCCTGCTCAGTCAGCTGGAAAATCTCTTTCAGGACTGGTCCACAACGTCCACAAGGGTGGCTCTTCTGGGAAGACAAAGCTATAGACGGATTGTTTGCCTCTGACACTCTTACAGAAACATCCAGTTCAGTTGGTGCCTCCACATTTTCTGCTCCACAGCAACAACCTGAACAGAAGGAAAGGCTGGTGAAGTACATGCTGACTTTATAAGGAAGGGATAATCTCATTACAAATGTCCACCTGTCACAGATAGACATGATTCTATAGGATAATTTTCAAGACAAGTGACTTAGACTCTGAGGAAATGGCTGCTATACATTACTTGGCCCCAAAGTCAAACAATGGAGGATACCTCACCACGGGAGGGACAGAAGCACAGGATAAGACACAGAGAAGAGAGGTAGGAATCCAAGTAGAAATGATAAATATTAGAACTAAGTGGTTGGCAAAGGGTCAACAATAATCAAGAACAAATAGAATGGGGTGAGGAACTGGCAATAGTAACAAAACACTTTTGAACAGAATGAATTCCGATTCATGACATTAACAAGGTATGGTATCAAACCCTTTCCAGCAGCCCTTCACCAAGGCAACACTGCCTCCAGGTCTACCCTGACATGGATGAAATCATGTTTCTCACGTGATGTACAAATGATTCTTCCCCTTAAATCCCAGCTGAGCTATTACATGGGATACAGAAGATACAAATCCTAAAAGAAAAACTGAGAGATGAATGGCTAGTACTGTGGAAGAACATCACAGCACAAAAGAGACCACAGGAAGAAGATCTATGTGAGTGACTTCAGCAAGATGGCAGAATATGGGATACAAATATTTCTCTCTCTCCCAGAACAAGTAGACAGCTATCCATGAACAAAAACCACCACAAAGGAGGGGAGTAAGAGTTCAACTAAAACAAACAGCAATGCAGAAGAGCAAAAAATAAAGAACTGCATAGAAAAGCATAACTGGGAAGACTGGGTTACCAAACATATTTGAAGATAGCTGGGTCAAAAACAGGGTCAAATTTACCTCTACCAGCCACTGAGTTTGTGCTAACATTGACCCCTCGTGGCCTGTTTTGTAATAAACACTGGAAATGTTTGTTTTTTGAAACCACAGAAGCCCCTGCAACATCTGTGAACCCTCCACAGTTTACACATCAAAAGACTCTATGGTTTATCAGCATGAATTCTAAAAGAAATCCCCTTGGCCACAAACTACCCCAGGAAAGAAAGAAAGAAAAAAAATGTCTTCAGCAGTATTTGCCACCAGAGCCCAGAACTCTCAATTGTCATTCAAAATAATTGCTTCCAAAACCACTGTAGACCCAAGGTTTTTGCTATTCTAACCTTAGCTCATGGAGCATTTATGAGACTAGGCTGCTGGGACTTGTCTCAGACCTGAAACACAACACCACACCCAGCTAACACTCTTGATTCCACATGCAGATTAATCTATTTCTCCAGCCAGAATTGCTCTGTAACATTGAAACAAGTAAGAAAAACTAAAACAAGGATACCATGAAGACAACCTAATTTAACACTAATTGATACCAAACAAATGAAGATTTATAGCCTGACAACAAATCCCAAATATTTACTTTAGAAACATCCGTGAACAAGATAACATAAATGGAACCTACATGATGAAGAAACCAACATAGGAAGAAAAGGAAACTATTAGACAGATAGAAAAAGAAAAAGATTCAGAAGTGATGGTATCGACAAAGTATAATAAATCAAATAGAAAATGCAATAAAGAGTACCAAAAGCAGACATGAAAGAATATGTGATGTCAAAGACACATCATTTAAAATAATCCATGTGGAGAAAAAAGAGAATAAATAAATAAATTTAAAAAAGACAGCAAAGGGCATTAAGTAACACCATCAAAATCACCTATATTTGGCCCTGGCCGGTTTGGCTCAGCAGTTAAAGCGTCGGCCTGCGGTCTGGAGAGACCCGGGTTCGGTTCCCGCTAAGGGCACGTACTTCGGTTGCAGTTTGTCCCCGGCCCTGGTTGGTCGTGCGGGTGGCAGCCACTCGATGTGTCCCTTCACGTCGATGTTTCTCTCACTCTCTCTCTCTTCCTCTCTCTCCCTCCCACTCTCTCTGTACAAAAAATGGAAAAATATCCTCGGGTGAGGATAAAAAACAAACAAACAAACAAACAAAATCACCTATATTTGCATTATGGGAATCACAGGGAACACCGAGGGTGGTGATGGTGGTAGTGGGAATCAGAGAGACAGAAAAGGGAGAGAAGAAAGAGGGGTAGAAAATTAAAAAAAAAAAAGGCTGGCTTTTCTGTGCCCATAAGGCTCTTGCAAGCATGGTGAATGTTCCTAAAACTCACCAGATTTTCTTTTTTTTTTGGTACATGCCCCTAGCGGGAACGGAATCCAGGACTCTCCGGTCCACAGGCCGACGCTCAACAGCTGAGCCAAACTGGCCAGGGCCCCACCAGACTTTCTGTAAAAAGTGTGGCAAGCATCAATCCTACAAAGTAACACAGTACAAGGGGAAGGATTCTCTGTTTGTGCAGGGACAGTGACATTATGACAGGAAGCAGGGTGGCTATGGTGGGCAAACTAAGACAGTTTTCCACAAAAAAGGTGAAACTACAAAGAAGATTGTGCTGAGGCTTGAATGCATTGAGCCCAACTGCCTATCTACGCGAATGCCAGCTGTTAAAAGAGATGTGGCATTTTGAACTGGGAGAAGATAAGATAGAAAAGGGTCAAGTGATCCAGTTCTAAGCTTCATATTTTGTTTTCTTATGTGATATTAAAATCTTCAGGATAAAAAAATAAACAAGCTGAAGACTGACTTTCCAAATCTGAAAACAGATGTGAGCCCTGGCCAGTTTGGCTCAGTGGTTGGAATGTCGGCTCACGGATCAAAGAGTTGCAGTTTTGTCCCCGACCTTGGTTGGGGTTGTGCAGGAGGCAACCAGTCGATGTTTTTCTCTCTCTCCCTCCCTCCCACTCTGTCTGAAAATAAATGGAAAAATATCCTCCCGAAAGGATTTTTTTTAAAAAAGATATGTGAATAATCAAATACATGCATTCGCACAGGTCCCTGTGCAGATTCAATGCATATTGGACTTAACCAAGACACTTTAAAGACAAACAGAATTGTGAAAGCACAAAAAAAACTAACTCCACACAAACGGGAACACATGAATGACATATTCAAGACTAAATGAAAACCATCAGTACTTTATCTAGAAAAACTGTTCTTCAGAAATAAGAAGTATTTTCCAAGACAGACAAAAGCTAAGAAAATTCACTGCCACTAAACCTGACTTACTAGAAATGCCTAAAGTTCTTCAAGATGAAAAATAATACTAAGGTGTGACTTGAGACATCAAAAACCTATAAAAGGAAGTATGGGGCCTGGCTGGTTCTGCTCAGTGGTTAGAGCCGACCAGTGAGTCCCGGGTTTGATTCCAGTCAAGGGCATGTAATTCGATTGCGGTTAGTCCCCGGCCCTGGTTGGGTCGTGCGGGTGGCAACCAGTTGATGTGGCTCTGTCACGTCACATTGATGTTTCTCTCCTCTCTGTCTCCTCTCTCTCTCTCTCTCCCCCACTCTATCTGATAATAAGTGGAAAAATATCAGGTGAGGATAAAAAAAGGGTGTATGGTTGAGTCAAAGGGTAGAATTTTTGTATGTAATTGAAGGTGTTACCAGAAAATAGATTGTAAAGAGTATGAGTTATCTTATATAAGTCTCTTGGAAATCACAAGCAAACATTCTAATAGATGTACAAAAGAGATAGGAGTCACACCACAAGACCACAATACAGAAACACAAACAAAGGAAGTACAAAAGAGCCAGAAACCAACGAAGAAGTGGCAACTGTAGGTCCTAAAACAGATTCTCCAGTCAAAAAACAAGAGTGACTGAAGGTAAAACCAACTACAAGCTTGCTAACTATAAGCGCCATTAAATCTTTATAAACATAAACAGGCAGAAAATAATGATAGAAAAAGCATTCCGTGAAAAAAAAAAGAGGAAAAAAAAGCAGGGATGACTAAAATTCTATCAGACAAAACAGATCACCTAAAAAATTGTCACAAGAAACAAAGGTCATCACAGAATGATAAATAAGTCAACTCATCAAGAGAATATCAATTTTAACCCTGTCCAGTATGGCTCAGATGGTTGGGTGTCACCCAGTACACCAAAAGGTTGCCAGTTTGATTCCCTGTCAGGGCACATACCCTGGTTGCAGGCTCAGTGTCCAGCAGGGGGCATAAAGGAGGGAGCCGACTGTTGTTTCACTCTCACATTGATGTTCCTCTCTCTCTCTCTCCAAATCAATTAAACAAAATTTTGTTTAAAAAAAAATTAAAAGACTATAACAATTTTAAGTATTAAGCACTAAACAACGGAGCAACTAAGTATATTAAGAAAATAAATACCAAATCTGAAGGCACAAACAACACCCAGTATCAGTAGGTAACTTCAACACTGCCCCTCAACAACAGGTAGATC